AGAGGCGGGCGCAATTAAAATGCAAACAACTTATGAACCCGACTCGGGTTGCTGCCCCCATTGCCCCTTTTGCCCTCCGCTCAGTACGCGCCATCCTGGAAAATAATTTCAAGCCAGCTGCTCAACCTCCCACGCCCCGCCTCTCAAGTGTTGTGGAGTGTGCCGCAGCTTAGCTGGCCACTTGTTGCCCTATTGCCAGCCATTGCCACATTTAGGGGCATAACTCATTGCTAAATACGTAAATAGAAGCGACTATAAATAAACATTAGATTGCATTTGTTGCCAATGAACGACCACAAAATACCCTTTCATTGGCAACAGGTTTAACTTTAAGCAAATTTTTTAGATTTGTATATGCTAAAGATATATATTAATATACGCTGCTTATGTAGTTCTTCGTAAGTTTCATTTCGATATTTATCGATTTCAGTTAAATATCGATATTAGTTTATTTGTTTATGGGTAAATTGATCTTACAAATCATTTGAAGCTTTGTTTGTATTAAAGATACTAAAGTTCTTAAGTATCCTTTCGATATTTATCGTTTCCAGCTGAATAATTTCGATTATATGGGTATTGTATAAGCGAATCTTTGTTTCTTCGTCGGTAAGATTACGTTGTAAATTACTTGCAGCTCTGACCATATTAATGATTCTATAGTTCTTAAGTTACTTTTCGATATTTATCGATTTTAGGTCAAAGCTTTAGCATAAGATACGTTAAATATACTAACTAATGTAAGCTGTAAGCAAAATTGTTTCTTTCCATATTGCTTCAGATTTCGCAGACTTCCTCAATTTGTGTGCTGATATGAATCGACGCGATTCGCACTCCATTGAGACCAATCAAAACAATTGAAGTGAATTGATTCGAAGTCTTTATCTATACAACAGTCTTATATACATTGACATAGAGCCCATTTGCGAGATATTCAGATATACCAGAGCCATGGAGGTAGGTGATAAATTCTGAGAACGAACGCCACAAAAAAAAAAAAACACAAAAAATGTTGAGATATTTTCTGCTTTTTTCGGTTTCATCTGCAGCGGATTTTCGTTTTTGCATTTATTTTGCTTACAATTTACACGAAATTGCACAAATATTTTATGTTTTCATCTTCATTTTTTTTGTTTGTTTAAACTCACAGTAATTTAATTTATTGTCTTTGTTGCTTTAGGCAATCAAATGGCTTAATTGAGTTAAGAAAATTATTTGTATACCTTTTGTTTGCTTTAACTAATTCGAGTGAAATGAATACAAATCAAGCTAGAATGCAGAGTCAAATTAGAGAAACCTTTCAAGGCGAAGCGACTAATTGTATTTTATGTCCATGTGGATTATGAATTTGTGAATTCGAGTATGTTGCAAAAAATTACAGAAAACAAAGGCACGCAGAGCAGTTGGTCCATTAGGAGCATTACAAAACTAAGGTGAGTTTATGTCACAAAATGTTTTATGACTCGGCAACGGCAGCTGAGCACAATCTAATGCTTGGACTACAGCCTAATCAGATTAGCTTTCAGCCAGGCCAAGTTCAATGCAGCAGCTGGCCGCGCTGCGTGCAATATAAACAAATTATCTGAAATTGTGAGCTGCACATTAAGTGAAATGAGAGCTTATTGGTCGAGGCGGGTGGTAGGTAGGTAGGTAACTGAACCATAAAATAAAATCACTCAACTTAAGTTGACAAAAGTTTTCCAATAAGCGCGACGCGCCACGGCCAAGCGTACAAAATCTCTTAACTAGTTGTAACTCAATGAAGTGCAGCGGACAAGCGGTTCACCAGCAAGGACAAATCAGTGGCATTGACATTGGCCAGACTGAGATGGCGCGAGAGTCGACACGAAATATGCATCGAAATTTTCAATTTACATGGCAAGTGGAGATGGCAGAGCTCGTCGGCGAGGTCCATTAAAATGTAACCAAAAATAAATTTTAGCTGTTTGACAGCCGAGAACGAGAGACGCCGAGAGAGTGAGTGAGACAGAGAGAAAGGAAGGGCAGGGAAAGCTGCTCGGCTAAGGAAAATAACAGTTGTTCAAGTTCTTAAAGAGCCATCAAATTGAAACAACTTAAACAAGAACTGTCCTGCTCCTGCTCCTGCTCCCACGCACTGTCCCTTTCACTCTTAGCCACGCTTAGCTTGCCAACCCATGGATCTGCATATTTTTGCGCAAAAATGTTTTGAGACAAGTTGAGCACAGACGTCTGTCGCTCTGCTCGTGTCTCGTCCCTTCCCAGTCTCCGTGTGACTTGAGCGCAGGCAAACAAGTTCGCTGCTGACGCCGACAGCAGTTTGTCAAATATTTAAACGGCAGCAGCAACAAAAACGTTGCACTTTCTAATGCATAATTGTTTAGTTGCTGTCAAACGGCCGACACTCGAGCTGCATCAGCCCCGGAAAGCGTGCTACATTATTTAATTCGGCTGAATCAAATAATGTAGCACGCTTTCCGGGGCCGACCCAGCTGCACCTCACGACATGAATTAGTGCGACCTTGTAATGTCTTATGCATATATATAAATCTGTACATCTATATATATCTCCATACAGTTGTATTCATTAAAATAGTGTTGCTCTACACAAAATTTATATTCGTTACGAATTTATTTATTTTTTTTTTACCATTTTAGGAAGGAAAAATTGGTGCTTCAGTAGTTTTCAAAATATTGCCTTTATAACTGAATTATGTTGTTCAACACATGCACATTTGATGACCAGTCGCACCACTATTTTCATATATTAAGAGAGACATTTGAATTGATTTATGCCACTCTTTGCTTTGCCATTTAACTGCTGTTGGCAGCTGGCAGCTGCAACAGCAGCTCTCTAATAACATTTTATTTTAATTCCATATTTTATATATGTATCTAGATAACTTCTTCGCTTGGATCACGTAAAGCTTCAGCTTTAGCTTCAACTTCACAATTTTACGCCCAGATAGTTGGCATTTCATATTCATATAGAGCACATAAAAGTTTTAAGTCTTGCCCAACATTTCAAAGTTATATTAATCCCTAATTAATAACTTCAAAATAAATTGGATTTATTTTTTTTGATATTTCATATTTAACTAAGAACGAAGAGATTTCTTAGCAATAAAAACTGTGAATGGGCTTTGTTGAGCCCATGAGAAGAGTGTCTATGTGTGTGTGTGTGTGCAGGTGTGTGTGTGTATGTGTATGTGTGCAGGTGTGTGTTTATGTATTTATGTATTTGCTGAGCATGTGTCCTTTAGCTGTCTTTATTTTTCGCTATATTAAATTCATAAATATATTGTCCCATAGCAAATACAAACACAAATGCCAAGCAGTAGCTGCTGTGCGTGTGTGTGTGTGTGTGTGTGGGTGGGTGTATTATTTAGCTACAAGCCTGTTGCACAGACAACGCTAGCTGATGAAGCAGGCCAGACTAGGCACTTAACGACACTTGGGCGTCTCAGCAAGTTCTCAACAAAATCTATGAATATGAATATGAATATGAACGACCTCGAATAATAATAATAATGATAATGATAATGATAATTATTAATATTATTGCAAGTAAACGATACAACAATAACAAAATGTCATGCATATTTATGAAACAACCAAGAAACGCTCTTGGAGCTGGCAAACCAACTTTCTGTTCTCTGCTTAGACTGCAATTTAAATTGGGGCAGAGTTAATATTTATGGTAAATAAATTGTAAATATATGTGAGGAATATCTCTGTGTAGTATCTATTGCTTGCTTGCACAGTTATAATAATGAAGCAGAGTCTAGCGGAATATGTCGCTTTTCTACACAAAGACAATACTCAAACTGTTCAGATCGTGCATTTATATCTATCTATATATACATACATACAAACATGCATACATACATCTATATATCTACAAATACATACATACATATACACATATTAGTTACTCCTACACAATATGCTGAGCTTATAAGAATTATGTGGAATATTTGATATATATATATGCGAGCTCTGCTCAAACAGTAGCGCGAGTTGTATATTTTTTTAATGATTACTTTTTATAGGTTTATCTATTTTTAACTTTAAAGTAAGCTCCATCAGATATTTTAGACTTTTTTACCCATTCTCGAAATGCTTCAAAAAAAACTCTACTTTTGTGATCTTGTCCAGCCTCTTATCAACTAAAAGCTACAAGCAAATCTCAAAATAAAAGTTCTCAATACTTTTGTAACAGACCTCGTATATATTCTTATAAATATATCAGCAACATAGTCTATACTTAGCGTAAAATAAATTTAATTATGCGCTTAGCTTTAAAGTTTTCTAACAAATTTGTATTCGTAAAAGTTTTGAACTTTTTCAATACCAATAAAAATTCGATTTTTAAGCTTCAAAACTTAAATTCGTAGATGTTTAATTTTTATTTAAAAAAATTAAACCATTAAGTAATAAATTGTATATGGCCAAAGTCTATTTAAAGCAGCTTTCAAAAGTTACGTTCTTTAATCTGAGGCAAGTGGAATTATGTTGGGATTAGTGTGAGAGTGAATCAAACTATTATTTATAATCGCATTTTAGTTTAATTCTCGGTTAGTAATAAAGAGTGTAATAATTATAGCCGCAAGAGCGTTGCAACAAACAATGGCAACAGTTTGCAGCGTGATGATGATTTAATGCTGCATTTAAAATGTGAGCATAAACAGCAAACAAATTGCCACAATTATGTGGCACTTCAGCTGGCCCCAAGCAGGGGTGGGGTGGGGGGGTGGTGCACTGTGTGTGTGTGGCACTCGTGTTATGTCTGATGAATAAGCGAGTGTTTGACTTTAAGTGCCAACATGAGTGAGTGCTAAAATGAGTGCGATCTATGAATGCCTCTCATGCGAGTGTAGTGCGTGCAGTCTATATCTATGTATTATATTTATAGACATATGTATACAGTTAAAAATACAAATTAGTTTGTTTTGTTGTCAATTTGAGGTGCGTTGAGGTGAATTTAGTTTGCTGTGAGCGTTTTGCATTCTTGATGCCCATACCAAAGCGAAATTCCTTGCGTTTATTACCCTTGCCAGGGTATTTAGCGTTCATGCCCATGCCCGATCCCGATCCCGATCCCGAGCCCGATCTCGGACCCGATCCCATGCCAGCATGCGAGGCTCTCACCCGCAATATGCGCGGCTGTGCCAAACGCTTCACGCGCGGCTGCAGCAAAGCAGCTGCTTCAGTTGTAGCTGCTTAATGTGGTTGATTGATATGAATAGGTATATATATTTATATATATATATAAATGTTATATATATATATATATATATAAATGTTAATGTTAGTATAACAGAGACAACGAAAGCGGTAGAAATGGGAGAGAAAGAGAGAGACAGCACCGCTTTAGTAAATGTTTTTCTTATGGCGCAGCTCCAAATGTTTCTAGGAAGCGGAATTGGTTAGTACGAATAGATATATATATATATATATAGATCGATATATGCAAATATGATAGATGGGATTAAATGGCTGTAATCATTCGCATCGCTCGAGTGGCAACACTTGACTCACTTTTCACACGCAGCCAGGTGTAGGCAGATTTCTCGCCAGCCTCATTGGTCGCCAGACATTGGAACATGCCCTCATCATCCAGCGTCAGTTTTTTAATTATCAGCGTATTATCGGCTTTCAATGTGTATCTGAAATGTGTTTAACATTCATGAGTTGTAATTATTCACAAACGCCACTCCCCTCACTCCTCGCTCCTCACTTCAACATTCCGACTACTAATTGGGCTGTACGCCTATTAATCGAAATCGCTATGCTGGCATATATTTTTGAGCTCAGCTGAGATGAGCCCTCTCGACTGCTTCGCATACCGATTTAACTTATTTAATGCATGCAGCTGAACGCTCTGCTCAAAAAATTATGCTTTAACTTTATTTTATTGATTTTGTGGTAACTTTTAACACTGGCCGCAAAAAAGTAGCGGGTAATTAAAATCGGAATTATCGTCGGAAGCTTTTTAACTTATAACAGTACACTTACATCCACATATTAGTGTTGTTGAACGCATTCTGACAGTCTTAGTTAAGAGTTTAATTAACTCCTACTCAACACTAAAGTGCCCTCTTTACAATACTGCCAAACTATTCTGATATAAGTGTTGAAAAACGCAGTCTGACACAGATTGCTAAACACTAAATTGATTTAAGCTCATAATTTAACTCCTACTCAACACTAAACTGGCCACTTGACAACACTGTTCAACTATTCTGATATAAGTGTTGGAAAACGCAGTCTGACACAGATTGCTAAACACTTAATTGATTTTAGCTCATAATTTAACTCCTATTCAACATTAAACTGGCCACTTTACAACACTGTTCAACTATTCTAATATAGAAGTGTTGGAAAACGCAGTCTGACACAGTTATCTGAACGCTAAATTAACTGATTTGCCTTAAGTTCTTATTTGAACTCCATATCATGGCGTCTTCCAACACTTAAGTGCACACTTTACAATACTAGTCAACAATTCCGATATAAAAGTGTTGGGAAATACAGTTTTCACTTACCCGCCAGTTAGTAGCTGCGCCTCGATACGTTCGGCATTGCGGAACCATTGGACCTGGGGCGTCGGATCGCCGACAACGTCGCAGGGCAACATGACTTGACCGCCAAAGTCGCCATAGGTCTCGGCACGCATGGGCGTAAAGAACATGGGTGGCTCGAGGATGTAGACGTGTGCGCTGGCCGTGACCGTTTGAAAGCCGCCGCTGCGCAAACGCACCTGGCAGCTGTATTCGCCGGCATGCGAGCTGTTCGCCTGCAGCAGGGCCAAGGTGCGATTCCAGGGATCGTTGAGTGTATGCAGAACGCCGGCATTTTCCACGGGCTGGCCATCCTTCAGCCAGATGGTCTCCAGCTCGTGCAGCGGTCGTGCATTGGCAATGCACTGCAGCTCGGCCACGCCCTCGCCGCGCTTCAGCTTCAGATCCTGGGGCGGCACTATTATCTCGGGCGCCACCTCCACATACGGATCGCCGGTGACATTGAGATGCACAAACGCGCTCATCTCCTCCTTGCCCAGTTGGGTGTTCATGGCGCGTGCCCGATATGCCTGGCGGTCCTGTTTATCGGCGCTGAGCACAATCAGCTGATTGGCCTGGGTTAACGCGTACTTGATCTCATAGTTAAGCGGCCCCTTCTCCGTCTGCCAAATGACCGAAGGCTTCGGCACCGAATCAATTGCCGGCATATCGAATATGGCCGGATGACCGCTGATCACTGACAAACGTCCCTCGGTCATGTTCTCGAACGTGCCCATATCTGTATGGATAAATGAGGAGAGGAAAATAAACAGAATAATTTTGTGAACTAGATGCGCGAGTTTCTCTGTTGCGCCTGCTGAGAGTTGGTCGTGTCACGCGAGCTAATTGAATCAAGCAGCAGTGGCCTCTGACCTGCGGGCTGGCAATTTTTGTTTAACCTCTTATCAAGTGGCACAGCCCAACGCTCTGCCCTAGCCACTTCACTTCAATTCGCTGTGCTGCACGGGCAACCCTCTCCTCTGCCTTTAACTATAAGCTCCAAAGGTTATTAGTTCAGTTTAAGCACTCTCCTACAATTAATTAAGTGCTCAAGACGCTTCAACTCAGCGCCGTCTTGGGCCACTCCTATGCAGCAGGAGTCGTCATCATCATCGTCATCGTCATCGTCATCGTCATCGTCAACGTTATCAAGCAGCTCGTCAGCTTCACGGCTGGTGTGCCCGAAAAGAAGGTCACCAGCTTGTCAAGAGCTCGATTTATTAGGTTCAAGCTGTTGGGTAATGTGTGGTGCCCACACACACACACACGCGCACACACACGCACACAAGTGTCGCTCAGACTCTTTCACATTCGCACGTGCGCTCTCTCTCCCACTCTCTATCTCCATCTGTATGCCTGAGTGTGGGTGTGTGTGTGTTACACTTACAGCTCTCTAATTGTATGTTACTTGCTCTGTGACCCTATTGCCACAATACTGCATGCTGTTGTTGTTGTAATTAAGTTCGCATTTAAGAAAAATTAGCAGCTATATCTATAGCCAGCCAAGCTGTGTGACAAGCGTTTGATTGGCAAGCAGCCCTTAATTGCCAGCTTGATGCCCTCCCCAACCACCAGGCTTGTCACTTATCAAGTTGCCAGTTGACACATAGCGTTGCACGTGACTCCCAGTTGCAGCAGCAGCAGCAGCAGCTGACAACAAAAGTTTTCATTGTCCATGCTGGCGAATAGAGCGCAATCTTCTGGCTCCACAGTGCTTCAGAATTAGTAAATTAATTAATTATGTTGTTGCTGCTCATTGCTAATAATAACCAACTCAAATAGTAACAATAATAATTGCTCAGCATTCTCGGAGTGTGCTTCTCACACACAGCTGTCACCTGTTGTCCCATCAGCCTTGGGTAGTTCTCTGCCCTGATGCGGACTTATAGAGAAGCTCCTTTGGCTGATGCTTGAAACTGTAGCGATATGTTGAAGAGCTGATTTGGTTTCCTTTGCAAATCATGTTAAATTCAGGGTATATAAGTGTCTAAGCCTATATCAGCATAAGTTTATAAGCGTCGAAAGTTGTAATTATTGACTCAACTCAGCCCAGTTCGTCGCTCTTTGAGTTGTTCATCTTTTATCTATTAGAGTCTAAAAATCTTCTACTTTGTATCAACTAATCGATAACTCTTGCTCATGACAGCGCTTAAAATCGATTACAAACTTGCGCCTATAGAGCATATTTCGCTAAGCTCAACAAATTTGGTATTTAGCTGCTGCTGGAGTATGCACGACTAGCGAGCACCTGCACTGCTAGCATTTGTGAAGACAATTGAATGTGGCTGAGTAGTCAGCATATGATAGAGACATAAAGGTTATATCATTTGCGTCTAGGTTCTCTCTTGCTAAGCCACATGCAGCTTTGACTGAGTCAACCAGGAATATTCCGAATATGATTGATTTTTTTTCTGTTCTGTTAACCTAAATGGAATGTCAAATATGGTTTTATAATTGCTTTTCATAACATTTAATTATAAATAATTAGCAGCTGTGTTACAATTGCCTCAAACTGTAAATCAAAGGCAGCTGCTACAATAACAACAACAACAAATGATTTGAAACACATTTTTTGTTATAGAGCGATTCAGTATGCAATATATATATATATACAAGATGTATGCATCTGCATTTGACTTTCAACTCGTTTCAGTATTTGTATAAAACAAATTTGAAGCGTTTTGCTCTACATAGCTCAACAGACAGTCAATCAGTCAATCAGCCAGTCAGTCAATCATTTGAGCTAGTTTTTTATTTATATAAATCATATATTCTTTATGCTTTGTCTGTAGTTGACCACATTTGAGCCACTTCAACTGAGACTAGGCCTTGGAACAAGTGCTTCATGCGTGAGTGTGTGTGTGTGTCTGTGTGTGTGTCTGTGTGTGTGTTCGTTCAATACAAAACATGTCAAATTGACATGGAGACAGGTAGTTTGAAATGTGTTCACACGTCATAAGCAGCAGGCTAATTACAATGGCTTAGCAGCCAGTTTGATGGAACAGTTGAAGCTGAATTTGTCACAAAAGGACAGTTGACACCCGATATATATATATATATATATGTACAGTTATATACCCATATATATGCATGCGCTTGTGCGTATACTTACAGGCAACAACAACGTCGCTTTTCTCGCTGAAAATGGAGCCAGCCTCGTTTCTGGCTATGCACTGATAGCTGCCAGCATCCTCGCGCTTCGTGATGTGAATGCGATAAAATTGACTGGATGAATAATCGGCAACGGGTATGCCATCCTTGAGCCAACGATATGTGGGCTGTGGTGAACCTGTGAATAAAGTACAAGCATAATGCATAAGTAAAGGTTCAACTGTGTGTGCGTGTGTGTCTGCCTGTGTGTGGTAGTGGCTGGCAGAGAACTTTTTGCACAGAGTGTGCGAGGGGAGCATCGTAGCAGCAGCAGCAGCAGCAGCAGCAGTAGCAATTCGTATTGTTGCATAATGAACATGTTGTTAAAAACCATATTTCCTTTCTTATGCAGCATCCTCTTTTTTTATGTGCTCTCTCGCTCTCTCGGCTGAGTGCGATTAAATCTTGTGCTGGCCACGCCCCATGCAAAAAAGAGGATATTACTTATAGTTCTCGCTGTGTGTGTGTGTGTGTGTGTGTGACTATTTGTTTGAGCTTCCGTTGCCCATCGAGGGACCCTCAGCAGCAGCAGCAGCAATGGTAACAATGATAGCAGCAGGATGCTGGGCACACTCTCGAACCCAAAAGCAAATCGAGATTTGGCACACAATTTAGCCAAATGCAATCGGAGCGAGCAGCTAAATAAACGACTTTGCCATTATTGTTGCAACGACATTTCTGATACCGATTTGCCGTCGAGCATTTAATTTAAAGTTGATTTATGTGCGGCAAAGTGTTGAGAGTTCCTGTTGCTGCTGCTGCTGCAATTGCAATTGCAATTTCTAAACTAAAATTGGATATGGCCTTTGGCTGTGTGGGCCATCGTTGGCCAGTTCGACATTTCGCCGGGCTAAATGAAGCATTGAATAAAATATGCGCTTTGGCCAACTATGTTAGAGTCGCGCTTTCTCGCTCTCTCTCTCTCTCTCTCTCTCTGTCTCTCTCTATCTGTTCCAAAAAAAAAAATATATATATATATATATAAAAACTCATCAGCCTACCGTGCTGAAATCTAATCGCATATTGTCGCTGGCCCACGGCATGCAACAGGATGCGTCCAGCTGTGCTGCAAGTGCTGCGCTTTTTTAGATAGCCAAAAAGCCCTTGGCCACTGCTGTTGGCTTGCCTGCAGACAAACAAAACTTTAACAACAAATCAATAAGCTCAGCTCAACGACTAGCTAATGCTCTGCCAGCCACGAAGTCCGCTTCAATAATAAGCTCGAACGTTTCGAAGTAGACCAATTGAACGATATTCTATAAGCCAACTTCGAATATGAGCTGAGCGCACACTTGACGCAAATACACTACCATCAAGTGATAAAGAGTATATTGGGTATATATTGAAAATGTTGCAATGTTCGCTCAGTTAACGAATTAAGCCAAATATGCATATACAGCCATTGGTACAGGGTATCAGGCGCTGTAATGCCAAATTACATGCTCTACATACAAGTGCGATAGATAGAGAGAGAGATATAGATAGTTAGATAGGTAGACAGAGAGAAGATGTGGCCAATGGCAATGGAATTGCATTCAGTTGGCAGCACTTTGGCAGCAGATGAAATCGAATTGGGACAGACAGCTGAAGCTAAAGCTAAAGCTAAAGCTGAAATGCTAGAAGCGACTCGAAAGGAGATAAAAAGAACTAAAGAAACAGAATAGCCCGTAAGAGCCAGTGCCAAAAAAAAAAAAAAACAAAAAAAAAAAAAAAACAAGAAACGTGAAGCAAAAGTAAATGCCAAAAGCAAGAAAAAAAAATATGGAGAAGTTCCTTCAAGTGTTTGGACGGCATAAAAAGTTGGCCTGCAAGCGCAGGGCCAAAGTCTATTTGAGCATTTGGGCAATGACGCAGCTATAAAATTACAATTTGGGGAATTCTAAGGCAAACACACACTCGCCTTGGTCAACAGCAGCAGCAGCAGCAATGCAAGGCAAATATAGCAAAAGCAAATGCACTGAAAGAAACGAAAAGAAAAGAAGACTTCTCTCCAGCGATATGTGTCAGCGTTAAATCGAAGCTAAGGCCCCAATAAGCAGAGCAACCAGCCGACCAAACACACCACTGAATGGCCTCAGTGCCCGAATAGCCAGTGTCCAGTGGCCAGTTCAAGCTGCTGCCTGCTTACAATCCCAGTCGAACGCACTCCCTCTCCCTCTGTGATGTTTGCACAAGTGAGTTTTTAATAACTAAGCTGACAAATCCTTTAAGCCGTAGCCACAAAAGCGAGTCAGCCAAGCGTCTAGCAAAGCCAGCGATTGAAACGAATCGTAATTCGATTCATTTGCTAGCGCCATCTAGAAGTCAAGAGTTGAAGCACATGCATTAATGCGTGCATTTTTCAGGATTTCTCAGCTATTATTTAAAACTTTTAAGTCTCTTCCCTCTCCTCTATAAATATAGAGTTTATAATAATATTATTTCACTGTCATTTGCTAGCGCCATCTAGAAGTCAAGAATTGAAGCACATGCATTTTTCAGGATTTCTCAGCTATTATTTAAAACTTTTAAGATCTCTTCGCTCTCCTCTATACATATAGAGCTTATAATAATATTATATTCACTTTCTGGAGCTGGAAATGAAGCTGAATAGTTATTATATATGATCAACTATTCATCTTCATTTCACTCACTGCTCAGCTGCACTGTTCTATTGAGATTTATGTTAGACCGACCGATAATCCGAGGTCTTAAAGCTAACTAAAGCATATTTGAACTCCTTTTTCCGTATGGCTTCGCACACGTTGCAGTGGGCCGGGCAGTCGTCTGTGTGAGGGCTTTAAATGAAATTCGTTTTTGCACTCAGTGACTCAATCGCTCAATCAATCAATCGTTCAATCAGTCAATGTCTAAGCAAGCGACTGCATATAAATAAATTCAATAAACTGACGACTCCACGCAACAAATTGCATTTTCACGCTTCTATCCGTATGCATGTATGCGTAGCTAATATATGTGTGCGTGTGCGTGCGCGTGTGTGTGTGTATGTGGCATGCACCTCATCCTGTTCCGTTCGCTGGCAGTACACTGAGGACACTGAGTACATGCCTCGCATAAACAGCGGAAATTGTTTGATTTGTGGCTGTCTCTTTGAAACGCTCGCTCCACAGCTTGCCAAGTTGTCGTCTTATGTCACATAACTCGAATCTAAAAACTCTCTCCACACTCTCTCCCTCTCCCTCTCCCTGTCCTTCTGTCTCTCTCTCTGGGACTACGATATTTATCTAGAGCCTGAACTTTGTCAACTGTAGCAGCTACTGCGCTCGCAGTTGTTGATTTTGATTCATTTGTGCTCATCGATCTCTGGCCATTTGCTGCGTCTGCCTTTGCAGTCGGCCCACGCGAATACCCTGTACTTTAATGCGATTGCCAGTAAACAGCTCTTGCCACGCAGAGAGCATAGACAGGTCGTGCATGGCCCGTGTGCAGTATTTTTCTTTATTCTTTTGCGGCATTAGTTCTTAGTCCTTCGAGTTGCACCTATTTATTTGCCCTCAGTGACGCAGAGGTCTCGTCGCTTAGTCAGTTATGTGTGCGTGTGTGTGCGTGTATGTGTATGCAACTCTGTGGCAAATGTTTGCTAAATTATGCACAGTGCAATGCGCCGACTCCGCCCTTTAAGAGCCGCAGCAGCAAAAGGCAAAACAGTCGCCAAGAGGACATCTGCCAAGTGTTGCCACAGCAACTAAACGCATAGGTGTGTGAGTGTGTGTGTGTGTGAGTTGGTGCAGTTGGGTGCGTGTGTGTGTAGATGTTGCTGTTGTTGTTGTTGTTGTAGTTGCCATTGCACTCGAATTTAAGTAAACTTAAAAAAACAGCAACAACAAAACAAACAACAAGAGAAGTGCGCCAAGCTGAGTGTGCCCGACTAGGTGATACCCTGCAAGAGTCAAGTTCACCAAATATTCCCAATTGCTAAATTCGTTATATACACATTTGTCTAGCTTTAGTTTTAGCTGGAATAAAAAATCGATAATTATCGATTTGCAATGCAATTATAATGCCATCACTTGCAGTGAGCGTCGCACAACGTGCATACCCGCTTCCAGTCGCACAGCGTATATAGTGTCTAAAAGGCTTTTCGAAACACGTTCGCCCCGTGCAGCTTGCAACGCTTCGCTTCGCTTTGCTTTACTTTACTATACTTTACTTTACTCTACTTTACTCTACTCTACTCTACTTTACGTTGTTTTACTCATCATGCTGCAGTTGTTTTCTCACACTTTTGGCAACACTTTTCACTTTTCACTTTTATGCATTTCCATTGTTTTGCCATTCGCGCTGCTGCGCTTTGTGCTCCCATTCTCTTATCTAGCCAGCTGCCTTTGCTAGCAGACCCACGACAGTTGGTCAGCAGGCAGCAGCCAGATCTGAAGATGCACCTGTATGTGTGTTACCTGTGCGGTTGGGGATATCCGCGCATCGGCAAAGCTGACAACAGAAAAGTGCAAACGAAGCAGTGAGCAGAAGCAAATCGATTTTCAAATCTATCGAGATCGTTTTTATAGTTACTCAAAATTATCGAAAACTTTTAGCAGTTGTCGAACTGAAAAAGTAACTGAAATCGATATATATATATATATATATATATATATATATATATATATATATATATATATATATATATATATATATATATATATATATATATATATATATATATATATATATATATATATATATATATATATATATATATATACATATATATGAGACATATCTTTATTGATGACAGCTGTCAGCATGAAATTCTCAACTGGTTACAGCTTGCCAGGCGTAGCAAGGCCAAGTTCTATCATCAACTGCTGACAGAATAACAAATGCTGATTGACAGGCTTTAGCCCTCTTTATCTTTTTATTGTAGTATTATTATTATTATTATAAAAATATAATATTATATGATATTATTATATATTATTATAATATTATTATATATTTTTATAAAAATATAACTAATCCAATTACCATTTCGACACATTTAGGTAAATTTATATTAATTGACTGCCTTCGATTTTATACATTTCTCGCTTTTAAACCGTTTAATAGGCCATGCCCTCTTTTCTTTTATCTGAAGCAGGCAATCAAACAATCCGTTGGGCGAAATTTCACATTAACCACATAAATAGTTTTTGGCCTTTTCTAGTTTCATTGCTACCTGCGACTCTTGCCACCCAGCGCCAAGACATTCCCATAAAAATACTTTACAAATAGTTTCTTGCTCGCTCGAGCAGTGAGTGGAGTATATTGGCTTTGACATGTGTGACAATAAAGAACTTTAAATGAAAAAAAATGAGCAGAGAGAGAGACAGAGTTATACCTACTGGCAGCGTGGGTTAACTTGCCTAGTCTTCGAGCTGAGCTTGATCACAGTAGCTTCGCTTCAAACATAGATCTAGATTGTAGCGAGCGAGTATTATGCAGTCAGTGCAGCTTTCTTCAAGCGAAAGCGAAGCTATAACGAGTAAAAGTCCAAGTCAAAGTCGAAGTTGAACTTTTATTTGCAATTGAAAAGTTCGCTCTGCGCCAGGGCATGGGGCAGCCGGTGGCCGCTGCCAATTGTTTAGTTCTTATTTTTTTTTCTTTCTTGCACATGTCCTGTGGCTTGACAGTAACAATACAGGCCTTAAATAACAGCACGAAAACAACGGGAATAACGGCAAAAAACAACAGGCAGCAGCAAAAAACGTGAAGCCGCATTGTTATAGCCAAAAACAAATGAAGGAAGACTTAAAAACAACAACTACAACAACAACAACAACCACAGCAGCAAAACACAAACACAATGCTATACAAATTTTTCTCCCTTTTTTCGCTTGGTAATGCTTCGCGCTGTATTTTTCTTTCTTCTTCTTTGTTTGTTGATGCTCAAGATGAGAGAAAGAGAGAGGAAGTCGAAGTCGAAGTCGGTACTGTGCCACCCAAGCAAAAAGTGGGTGTATGCCACGCACGTTCTCAACACGTTCGCCTTTCGTAGTTGCAGTTGTTGTTTGGCGCTGCATGCAACACCCCACGTTGTGCCCATTTGCTGCTATACAGCTTCTGGCTCGCTAAGGTATATATAGTGGCACTCGGCAACGGCTTTGTAGCCATAAAAGTGTCTTTGTTGCAAGTGAATGCGCCGCATTTAAGACGTGGCAAGGCAGCCAGCAGCCAGCAGCCAGCAGGCAGCCGCGTGTTGCACATCGCGCTCAGTTCGCACGCATTCACGTCTTCCAGCTTCATTTTGTTGGCTCGAAAACAATTCAACACACATTTTGCCAGCTTTATGCTTATGACACCCTAAAGTACGAGCACTGCCAACGGGAAGTACTTGCAGCACTTGCCACACATATTAGTTATATTTGTACTACAAGCTCTCCCCCCACGACACCTGCCCGAAAACTTGTCAGTTTTAATCGTGATTAACAGTTTTCTTCCTTACCTGTTTACCGAATCGGCTAAACCGCAGTTTATCGCTACATTACGCCAGATGGCGCCACATAGCAACAACAACACCCATTGTTTTCGTGCCCCAAAAAAATCTCAGCACATTCATTTCGATAATCGTTGCGCGTTGCACTGAAACTTTCTTCTAGACTCCTTAAATTATGCTGCATTTTTTTTGGTGTTTTTTTTTACTATTTGGCCTACATCAGTGTCAAGTTGAAGCCTTTCAAATATTAATAATTTATATCTGCCTGCACTGAGGAGTCTGAGTTGCGAAAGGCAAGGAGAGGAGCGAGAGAAAAGCCAGCTTTATCTTAAGAACAATTCGATTTCGTTTACAGCTTAAGCAAAACTTCATCCTTTGCCTCGCCTGCTCTGCTCTGCCCCTCATAATTCTTATTAGAACATTGACTTGAAGCACTGAACTTTTCGCCTAAGTTATACCAAATTTATGTAGTCTACTTACTGAAGCAACTGAAGCACAAATGAATTTGAATTGAATGTTTTATTGAAAGCAAAGCGCATAGACCAAGTAATTCTGAGAAGCTTAGTAAAAAAAAAAGGGCAATGAGTGCACCAGTGGGGAGTGCTCGACTAGACAATGCCCTGACAGGACCATAAAGAGCGCTGCTTGATCGCTTTTGAGAAGCTTAAAAGTAAGAGTGCGCTAGAGTGCGCTCTCAACTCTGCAGAATCACAAAGAGCGCAGCTCGATCGGGAGTGTTTGACTGGGGAATGGAATGACCTCAGCTCACAAAGTTCCCACAAGAACTTTCTGAGAAGCTCTAGAGCGAGAGTTATATATCAAGAGTATTTGGCATTCATCTAAATCTTTTTAATGGCCAAGGGGTATGTCTTAGTCAGCATACTTATGCGACACACTCGACTCTGTACATAGTAAATGCATTTTGATATTTTACATTTATCAATTTTAGCCACAAAATACGCATTTCTAGAGAGTCAAAATGAACTGAGGCCAGTTTACCGACAGCCTGAAGCACACACATGTGTGTGTGTGTGTGTGTGTGTGTGTGCGTGTGATTGTGCTGACAATTGAAGGCGGCAAAGTGACTGCAGAGTGCGTGAAGCGCCGTAGCCTTTGGCAGTGCTTGTTGCAACATGCAGCGACACTTGCCACACCAAGGACAACGGCGCAAAGAGCAGCTAAAAAGATTTGCATGTTTTGTTTATCTCTTTTTTTGTTGTCTCTTTTTCTCTTTTGCATGTTTTGCCTCGCTCGCGTTAGCCGCATTTTTGCTCTTGGCCATTTTGCAGCTTACGCAAAGTGCAGGTGCGTTTCATGCTCTCTATACGGTATATATACATATACATATATAGCAAAGCGTGGGAAGCGGAGTGTGTGTGTGTGTGTGTGGGTGTGTACAGGTAAACTGATCAGACTGACCAAGAAGATTTCAGACTATTAGAGCAGCTTTAGCACTATTTGAGCTTGGCTCTCGAATGCTGCTGCTGTAAGATACACCAATATCCGTTCAGTGATACAAATCAAAGCTTTGAGCTCTCTAAAGATACAAACGGATTACTTAAATTTAAACACACAAAAGGTAAATGCAAGCGCAAAATGTCTTTCAAAGTTTGAGATACAAAAGTGTCTTGACGATGCATTGATTAACGCTTATCAAAGTTTTGGTTAAAGACTAACAAAACTGAAACGTTGTATGACTAGTATAAGGACACACGCACACACACACACACACACGCACACACAAGTACACGCTTGAATAGTCAATGTAATATGCGCTGAGCTTATATCTATATCCCTTTGACTTATCAATGAGCCAATATGTATAAACTTTTAAATATTTCACGGCTAATTGTGCGTATCCTGAGGCCATAAGGCGCAAAGCTAATGTCACACAACACACAAGACACACACACACACTCACAAGGACATGTGGGTCTAAAAGTGTCTTGAGGGCCCTCACAGCGCATTGGCATAAACGAACAAACAACGAACAGCAACGGCTGATGACAAGGACAAGAGCCCAGAGCGAAACAGAGTGCCAGCCCGAAAGGAGTTGGCCCAAAGTCCAAGCTCATAACATTTTAGCCACGATACAATACGTAACCGATACTTGGAAATGTCAGACGCAGCAGGCTTAGCCCACAGTCGAGCAACACCTGTACATAGGTGCGGGCACATGTGGGTGGGTGGCTGGTTGGTTGTGTGTGTGTTTGGGCACGCCCTAAAGTGACCCAGCGCCCGTTATGGGGTAGTCCCAAAACAAAACGGCTCAAAGGATTATGGCGCGCGCTCTCCTGGGCTTCCCAAGCGCTGGAAACCTCATAAAAGTTATTGTTTTTCTACTTCATTATCTTTCAAAAGCAAAAGGCGTTCCGCAACGCTCGAAAATATAAAAAACACAAAAGGGGGAAAAAGTGCTGAAAAAGATGTGTGTTTTCATTTTCATTTTGTGTTCTCCGTTTAGGGTTTTATTTTACATGCCACTTGCCGCAATGCCCAACGGGCCGAACGCTTTCAACTTCCTGCAGATCCTTAAGCTGCTGCCACTGCCGCTGCCACAGCCGTTGCACTGGCAGACGTTTTGAAGGACAAGTGTAATGTTTAGACGCTCGCTTCGCTCAAGTCGGCTTAAGTTGCGAAATAAACTTATTGTTGGCTCTAACTTACCCAGCGCATGACATTGTAAAATCTTAGTCCGTCCCTCGCTAACAATGGATCCCGATGACGATGGATGCGTTGTGAAACGCGGCGCCTGTTGCTGCTGTTGTTGCGATTGTCCTGTCGGTGGTCCTGGTTGCTGTTGTTGCTGCTGCTGCTGCGGAATGGCATCTGCAATAGAACAGTAGAACAACGGATGATGAGCATTTTGTTGAAAGCTGTCAATGCAAACAAATTCCCCGGAGCGCGCTCGTTAAAACGCAACGCCTGACCTTGACAATGCACTGGTCATGTTCAAGGACTTGTCGAGTGTATTTCAGTTAGTCATTCGAGTTATTTGTTGCTAAATTTCACGGACCACTTGCGTGGCTTACGTAAAAGCAAATGCAAACAGAGACAGGCCAACTGACTTGGTCTTATTCTCGTCAAGAACTTTAACTTGTCTTCGAATTGTCTTTTATACTTTTTCCTTCGTAAATTTAAAGCGATTTGTGAAGACTTTTAATGATACAATAAATGAACTACGATTCGATTCCTTCAATAAGTAAAATCAAACAACAATCGATAACTTATTAAATCAAATCGATAACAATCGATAATTTATTAAATCAAATCGATAACAATCAATTTACTACATAAAATCCATAAAAATCGAAAACGTATTACATTGAATCGATAACCATCGATAACTTAATTAAAATCTATAACAATCGATAATTTACTACATCGAATCGATAAAAATTGATAACCTTCTATATAAAACCGGTAGCTACGAATCAAATCAATAATTTACTAGATCAAATCAATAAAATTAGATAACCTTCTATATAAAATCTGTAGCTTCGAATCAAATCGATAGCAATCGATAATTTCCTAAATCAAATCGATACACTCGATAATAAATCAATTCAGGTTATCGTTTCTAATGATATAAAAGGTAGTATCAGAAAACTTCACGCCATGCCTGCTACTGGCTGTTGCATACACTTTCCCACATTAAATGTGTTCATGGTTGTCTTTGAGACACGGCTACAAAGGCCGAACTAACCAAATCCCAAAACAATGGTATCAACTAACAATTTGCAGCGTCGATATAAACAATAGATAAATCATTAAATTCCCTTTGAATGCCGTCGAAAAACACGCTTGTAATGTATCAATAGTATCAATACTTCATATTAAATACATTTTTTTACACATCAAAACAATTTTTATTCATAGAGCTCAAAAAAATGCCAGAGCTATAAAAAAATAATAAAAAACACTAATTTAATATTGAATGACACAAATGCTTAAGCCCGCTTTACTTAACTGAATTTGTAATTATTTCATTAAAAAAAAAAGAACAATAACAAAAGATAAAAAATCAAATAAAAATATGTCGAATTTTGCCACATTTTGTTTATTGTTTTTTATTTTGTTTGTGCATTTTGTGACAACTATCACAACAGTTTCAATTTCGCACACAAATTTCTGTCTGGCTTTGCACCTGTTGGGTATATTGCTTTGGTTCAAGTGTATGTAACGGGCAGAAAGTATATAAACATATATATATATATATATATATATATATATATATTCTTAATCTTAATCAAAAGTAGAGTCAATATCTATCTATCTCATGATCTCAGATCAGTTCATTACTTTGAGTTAGCTTTCAGCTAAAGTAGACAGCCGACTCTTTGGAATACCTTATCCTTGCCATAACCTCGATCTCTTTCAAATGTCAGGGTATCTTGTAGTTGTGCACATCCAACTCACTTTTACGTCCTGCTCTCTGTGCATTCAAATAAACACAAGAAAACTTGTTCAAAATGCAATATGTCTATTGAAATATAAAATTGCTTTTTAATAAATAAAAATTTGCTCTCGTATTATTTTATTATTTCGACAAGCAAACCAAATAAACATATAAATATTTTAATTTTATTTATTCGATACAGAAAGAAACAGTTGTACGGCAGTTCCTTATCATCAAACCGACACAGAACAAAAAAAAAAAAAAAACAAAAACCCACAAATTGGGGGCTGTAAGTTTCGCCGTAGCGTAATAAATCCAATAAATGCAAGTGACAACGGGCCACAGCAACAATAAACAGGAAAGTCTAACCGAAGAGCTGACTCTGGCTCTGGTTCTGACTCTGGCCCCGACTATGGTTCTGCTTTTGCAAATATTTTTGCTGGTTGGCCTGACCCATTTTTCAAGGGATTATAAATTCATTTTGAACGCAAAACATGCATATCTATATGTGTGTATATATGTATGCATGTATTTGGAAACATTTTTGGGATCGGCACAGTCACAAAGTAACAATAAACGCCCTTTGCGCCACGCTTATTGAAAACCACGTAAATAATTTGTTTATTTTCACCCCATTCCAGCAAAAGTGACAAGTGCATAGAAGCTGCATCCTTTGAACTGGTCAAAGCCAAAAGAGTTCAAAATTGAAATACCTCAAATGTTGCCAATAAATACGAACTCAACCTGAAATTGTTTAATTATTCAATATTGTTAACTACTTTAGGGAAACTTAAATTGATTCAATTTTCACACACAATAGAAGTAAGAAACAGAAGTATCTGTAGGACACAGAAGTCGCTGTTAAGCGGAAAAGTATCTGTAAGATACAAAAGTATCTATAAGATACAAAAGTATCTGTAAGATACAAAAGTATCTGTAAGATGCAAAAGTATCTGTAAGATGCAAAAGTATCTGTAAGATGCAAAAGTATCTGTAAAATGCAAAAGCATCTGTAAGATACAAAAGTATCTTTAAGATGAAAGGCTTCTATAAGATACAGAAGGTTCCGCGAAATTCAGAAGTATCAGTAAGATGCAGAAGCGACTGTTAAATGCAATAGTATCAATAAGATATAAAGGTATCTTCAAGATACAAGAGTATCTTTTCTGCAAAATATATAGCTGTTAATAGCAAATACATTGCATTGTATTCAAGGAAGCAACAACATATTAAACAAGCCAACAACCGCATTTTATGGAATATTCACTTCACTTGAAACGTCTTTGATATTCTCTTCACTTTTTGCTTTCCGCTTAAAACATGTTGATATTCAAGCTATATAAATAGTGTGAAACGATTTCAACACTCAGTTTTCACATGAAGATAGTTCAGCTGAAATGAGAGCGATTAAATGTATACGAGTTGGATGTGCTCGACTATCAGACACCCACACCACTCAAATATGCTATCAGATACCCAATGTATGGCTGCAATTGACTGTTCGAACTGTTTCTATAGCAAAGTCCAAAGAACTTGATATGATTTTCCTTATGAATTCTAGAGAATAAGATCTCTGTCTGCTTCATTTTATGAATATGCCAGTAAAATAACAAAAATCTTTTGATTAGGCGCAAGCTTAAGAATGTAGTTCATGAATTGATATATATATTAATATATATATACATTGTATATTCTTCGTCAACATCAATCGATGAGCTCGCCTGTTTTAGTTACAAAGTGCCGGGTGTAGCAATTCTATTTCACAGCATTTACATATTTTTATGGCCATGTTGCAACCAAAAAGTGCAATTGCTGGCAACGCTGAGGCAATTAACAATTAGCAGCGCTGCAAATCGCATTTGGCCAAAACAGAATAAAGAAAAAGCGAAATCCATATGGCCAACATATGGTTTTTTGGTCGATTGAAAGAGTGGAAAGTGTCAGTGTGTGTGTGTGTGTGTGGGGGCTGCTTTACGCCTCGCTGATTAGCTGAGGCCCAGTTGCAGCAGTTGTTGTTCTCTCTCTTTGCAATTGTGATTGAGTATATAATTCTAGCCTGTGGTTTGGTTACGGCTGACAAGAGAACAGCTCAAAGCCAGTCGACAATGCTGGTCAACGTTTGGCGTTGCCATGAAGATGGCAACCACTCAACTGTTAGTGGCGCACATTGTGCCACCTGCCCACACACACACAAAGACAGCAGCAGCATCAGCAGGCGGTAGCGTTAAGCCAAGCAGGCGTTAAATTGCCAATGTGTCCAGCACGCTCTTGACAAACGCTTGCAACGCTCCCAACTGCCTTGTGGTTCACAATTGTTGCAGATACAGCAACCCCAACGCCGCAATCCTTCACATCATCTCGCCAACTCTCCACGGACCGTCCCCCCCATACCCATCTATTCTAAGCTGTAGCGCTTTGGTTTTGCGGTTTGCGCATGCGCAACGGCCACACACACTTTGAATGGCTTCCCCGCCTCTGTCAGACATTTGATATGCGCCTGCTGCAGGCATATGTATCCCTGGCACATGTTGTTGTTGCCAAGTCTCTTTATATGCAAAATATGTTGCTATTTTTGGTGATGCGCTCAATTTACAGCACTTTAGCAGGCAGTCGCCCACACACACACACACAACTGACACAAGGACTTGTTCACAGGAAACTATGTCGGGCATTTTGAAAACACCCGCCCGCACACACACACACACACACACACACACACAAACTCGATTGTCGTCCCGTTGAGCTTTTGTTGAAATTTGTTTGTTTAATGTAAACGACGCCTGTTTTATCTGCATTGCCACTTACAAGTGGCACAAAATTTCAAGCCGCAGGCTCAAGTGGGGCAAGACTGCAACTTCCTTGCGGCAGTTGTCGGCATCTGATGTTAATGATAAAACACACACACACACAGGCACACACATGTGGCAGCTGCAATGTAATGCGAGACGTATTTAATTTCTTATATCCTTCTCGAGACTATTATGAGTTGCTCATGCAGCATGCAACGCAGAGACTTGTAACAGTCTAGAAAGTCATTAAATAATAACTCACATATGTCGTATATATAGCTGATGTATATTGAATAGAAAGTCAGTTTCAGCAACTCAATGGACTTCTAAAAGTGTATTTGGTCTTCGGCATTTCCATTTGGTTTCTTCCACTGCCTCAGTTATTTTTTTTCAATTTTGGGTTACTTTAAAGTGGTTTTTGGGCTATAGAAAAATGGGCAATGGGAACGTTTAGGGCATTAAATACATATTGTTGCAGTTGGTTGCAGTTTGTCACAGTGGCTGCCAGCCTTGACTTCACAGTCATCTTTCAGGCACACATGTTGCACATGCAATATGAAATACTTTTGCTATATAGTTATATATACTAGAAACATGTGCTAGATATATATATATATATATATATAAATTGAGATTTCTAT